AGAGGGTATCACAAACAAATTGAAATACATGCTCGACTTTTCGGCATCCATGAATGTGCCCTGTCCTCCCTAAAAACAGTAGAGGGTTCCCAACCTCATCGACTCAAACCGTGAAGTCGCGAAGTCGCTTCCAAGTCGCTCTGGAAGTATTCAGGACTTTGAGCCTCTGCTTGAGACATCCATCCGCGATTCAGGCGCCAGTTGGTGTCCCAGAAGTCGTGGTTCCCCGCGATGATGAACATGTGCCTCAAGTCGCGACGGAGGTCTGTCTGAGATGGGACACAGGTGGACATGGGTGGAAGGCGTATTGATCGACGTCCTATCGTTGCTGGGTCTACCCTGGTAGCTTCTTGTTCCTAGTAGTAAGGCCAGGAGCCCCTAGTAGCGTCCGTGCTCCGGATGAGGAATGATTCCGAAGCGAAAGTCCGAAGTCCAGTTCGACTCAATTTTGCCCAACCAAAGTCCAGGAATGTCCAGGAAACTCCTGAAATCGGGTCACCTAAAGACCATCAAATACCTGGCAGCCTCGAAGTTCAGACGGAGTGCAACTAGCTTATAGTCATGTCCCCATGTTCCAGGGTCCGAACTGGAGAGTCCAGCCTTGGAGGCTCCAGGGTCTATCCGTTGTCAGACCGAGAAGAGGCCTCCAAACAGGTGCCTTGCACTGTGCCGGGGAACTTGATCAAAACGATGCAACATAGCATCGCAGTGCCTCCAATGAGAAGTAAAATAAGCACCAAGCAAAACACAACCAAGCATGGCAAAGCTTCACACTCAAAATAAGAGCCAATTTGCAGGACATGGAGGACACCAACGGCACAACATTAGGCACCAACACCATGGCGATGTATATTGTTTCTGCATGACCCAACGCCATGGCACTCGTGGTTGGCGGGCCATTTCTCAAAAGAACCAACGCACCCGGATTTCTCCACGTTGGCCACCAACAAAGGTTGAAGGACCCTATTATCCCATGGGTACCCCAGTGGGGTCCTTCAAGGTCACTTAACCCCTCTTGCCAGGTCGCTGGCACTGAAACTTGCACCAAATTGCCCAAATTGCACTGAAAAATAGCTGGGGTACTCATGACACGTTTTTGGCCAGGTCACTGGTACTTGTCCTTGATTTGACCCAGCCAGTCGTTGAAGTCGCCCAGCTCCGCGTCGTTGCCCACCTTGGCCACGTCGCCGGAGTGGATGAAGATGTCGGCCGCCGGCCTAAGAACGGATCGCATGGAGGTAGGAAGAAAGGCGAAGCCGGGCCAGACTGTTGTTCAAAATGATAGAAGAGTAAGAGTTCTTCCATATGTTTTTTACAGTGAGAGGAAATGACTTAACTTCAAGAACATCATATTGAAACTGGAAAAAACATCTGGAACCCAACAAAAAGAATGACCTCACCCTGCATTGGGCTAGGATCACCTATGGTTCCGGAGTTCTTGCACTGAAATGATTCAGGACTCTAAACTGGCACAGAAAGCAACGACACGGTGTTGGACCCTCGTGACAATCGAAAAGAGGTTGTTCAAGCCGCATGGCCCAGATTCACAGCATCACTACCACTAAGACTCAGACTCTAGTTCCTGGATGTTCCTGGAGACTTCAACTACACCTGGATTGAGTTCCAGCCATGTCCCACTCTTCAGGAAACGAATTGGAGACTCCAGGTTGCTCAACACAAGAATCCATGGGTGTCCAACGGAAAAAAAAAAACATGGACCTTTGGTGTGGCCCGTCCTACGTCCTCCAGTCCGTCGGAAGAATTATGGTCTCACGTCCGAGCTGCAAGTCTCCTGTCGAGCGGTGCAAGCTGTGGGTATCACCTCAGCTGTGTTCTACAGCGGTGGCCGTCGTCGGCAGTCCAGCTGGGTTGTAGTCCGATCCCCGTCCCGTTCTGGTGAGCAAATCCACAAGTGACGCCATCTGGGCCCGACAAGTCACCCACTGCAACTTATATATAATGTCTGAAAAAGCTAACAAAGGAGGCCTGTTGGAGGGCTAGTAGACGTGTTTGATCAACGTTTGATCATTTTGGCCTTGTCCTTCCCTTTCCCCTTTGGGTCAGCCTTGCCAGCCTTGCCCATTGGCGTCATCCTTGTTCTCCTATGTCCTCGTGCCTGCGGTCTTCCAGTCGCTGGCACGTGACTGTCAGTTGTCTTCACCCCCTGCTAGTATAATTGGGTGTGTATTGAAATAGGGAGACCTCACAGGCAAAGACCCCTGGAAGTTTCGGAAGAATGACCAGTCTACCCACATATTATAGATCACAGTTATAATGATCAATATGTAACTGGACCTGGAGTCCACCTGTTTACGCCTCAAAAAATACATGTAAGTACCTGCTAGTATGATTCAACATGCATCTTGGCAAAGGACTTCCCACAAGCCCGCTCAACGCATCGACGCTCAACACTTTTCGTCAGATAAGAAAAAAACGACGTTTTTTGGGGTTCTGTGTCTATGAATAGCCCCCCCAAAAAGAGGTGCATTCGGCCTTTGTTGCTTCTCCTATCTGGCGAGCGAAACTCGTGGATCCGATCCATCAAGGCCGGGATCAGCTGGGATCCCTCTGGACCGAATCACCACCAGAGCGAAGCTGGTGGGTCGCATTTGCGAGTACCAGGATCAACCCCATCTACCAGGAAGGTCACGCATGGTCAAGGGAGCCTCACTGAATCATGGTTTGCTTCATAGAGCCCCCTCCGTCTGTAAGACACAACCATTGACGCGCTCTCCGAATGCTTCGTGTCCGCCAAAAGGCTCACGTGGAGGATGGTCACCACTTGCTGAGTGCGTCGGACCTTGAGTCCTGTAGAAGGACCGATCGTCGGATCTTGCGCAGTGCTGGAGGTGTTCGTGTGGTTGTCAGCAGCCTCAGTAGCCTCGGTGGTTCGGTGGGCAGAAATTAAACTCACAAAAATGAGGAACACATTATGTGGATCCTCTTGGAATATCTGAATAGCGTTGTTTTTGATTCCATCCTAGTAACTATAGAGTATAGTCTAGTTCTTTAAACATTTTCAGTCTATATAGCCAGGATGTTGCTTGAGTCCTTCGGGAGATCTGGCAACGGAGTTGCTTCACTGACTGGCCTGGCCAGTCTGGACACTGCGACTGACCTGAATGTGCAACAAATGCCAACATCATATTGACACATGAACAGATGCCTCTTAATACCGTTTATTGAAAAGAAACGTCTGACCATCTGTCTTTGAACCATTCTTGCTTTCTTGATGCCCCCCGGACCCCCAGCTTCAAAGTGGTGGGACATCTCTCCATGCTGAAGCCTTCAAAACAAAACTGCCATTTTGGATCATGTTGGTTTAAATTGCGGGATTGTACAAAATAGTACATAACAATATTGTTATTGGGGTTCAAATTCAAGGGGGGCTTGATTGCCAGACTTGGACATGTGATGGGATGGATTGCTGTTTTTCTTGAAGAACCCGGTATAGCTGTGTTGTTGCGACCTAGGGAACAGTGGCAGACTCTCACCCTTGCAAGATGAACTCAAAAGAATGGTTTGTCAACCGGTCAACGTGCTCGGGGACTGCCAGTTCAAACTTGCACCAGGGTCGTCGAAAGACTGCCGCTTGTTAAACACCTTGGGGGCTACCTTGGGGTGATGCAGGATTGGCATTTTGTAGTATTGATCCAAAGGTGATCGTGTCTTTCAGCCCAACCACACTCTGGGTGAAGAGCAAGGCCAAGGCTAGAAGCATCGACATGGCTCCGTGGACGGCGTGTGGCGAAGGCGGCAGGATGTTGCTCTCCAAAGCCCAAAAATGGCTTCGCCCGTTGAAAGAAGGTCGGATGAGGTGAGTGAGGATGTTCATCCCTCCAACTACTATAGACACTGGACACCAGACCCTCAGTACTTGGGGGGTCTGGATGTTCGGGGACGCCTGAGATCCCTGGGACCTGAGGTGTTCTGGAACCAAATCGGGTCCCGATTTCCAGACCGGGTCGATCCGGGGTCGATCTGGGGTTTCTCAGTGGGTTTCTCACCGGGAAAGGGGTGGGTTTCAGCGGCTGCGCGGCTTGGAATGAACTAGTTGAACCTCACCAAGCCGACTGACTGTTACCCTAGGGAACATGACTAACTTGACCCCAAAAATGACTGGTACTTGTCGGTGCTGGTACCCATTTTCTCGTGTACGAACTGAGACTCCATGCCCGCAGAAAATGTCACAGTCTTCATTCACACACCATTAGGGTCTTAGGGATTTTCTTTGGTGCAACAGGGGTGCGCTTGCAGGATAGTCTGTACCGCCTGTGGACACCATTGGGATTGACTCGGATTGACCAAATCAATCCCCCGCATTGGTGATGCAGGATGTGGTCCAGAAATATGTTCCCTTCTTCAAGGAACCATTTGTGCAAATCTCTAGTTGTCAACGCCGTTGAGTTCTTTGGCTCATATACGACTATTCATCCAGTTCCCTCCTACAATTTGCAGGTAGGGAACATCTAAAGAAAAACATGATTTTCACCCCAAACACTATGTGATTCCTGCAGATCTTCCCTTAAATCCAGGCACGGTTTTCAATGCAATGGCCGCTCGGGCCCCCCAGAAAGCAGTCCACCACACCTGACACCCCCGATGAGTTTGCCTCATCAGTTGGATGATTCCGCCAACATGCCCCATTGGGAAGCAAAGGATTTGGATGATTTGGATGGAACCATGGTCTCCCAAGCTCCATGGATCCCAACGAGACAAATCAGCAAGGAAATGGCAAAAGTCCGTTCCTTCTATAGGTACAATGTTTCGTGCACATGTGTTGGATGCAAGTTCATGTAGTTTCAATATACGTGAAATAGTGAAATGAATATTTTGATATATCTTGAATTATGAATCTTGACAACATGAAAAAGGTGGTTAGCTAAAAGTAGCCGCGGGCAGTAGAAATCAGCCAGCCGTTTATCAACTTGAGGGCACCAAGTCAGCTTCAGGCAAAAAAGAAGGTCTGGTCATCTGCCTTTGAAGTTGCAAAGCCGGTCCTCCGAAGCCCGCTCTCATTGAGGAGTTGCAGGGCCTTTGACCACTCAGCTGCTTTTCCTAGTGCGAACGTGCGCGCGCGCTCGCTGCGACAGCGAAGCTGTCAAGAGGTGTGAAACATTTGTCATTCAGTCATCCATCAATGTTCTGTGCTCGTCCAATATACTGCGGATTTGCTGGATAAACAATGTTTTTTTCAGGATGCTGTCCCCTGATCTACGCAATATAATGAAGAAGACTACAACACAGAAATTGATAATTATACCCCTTTTCTCTGTGCCGGGAAATGAGGTCAACAAATGAATCTCACTTCCAGATCTGTACGCCACAATTAGACTTTGGTTTGGCTAAAACAATGAGCTGATACGCAGCAAAAGAGTCGTGCTCCGCAGCGTCCAATTTTGTTCCGTTTATCTGTGAATTGTTCAATTTGCGATGAACAAAAGGGTGTCAGATTTAACAGAAAAAAACATAGCAACTACAGTAAACTAAACAGTTAAATTGGCGTTAGCCTGTTGGATGGACATGGACATGGATGGACTTCCCCTCAGATTGTATCCAACAGTCCTCATACCTGATATCCTCACAAAAAAAGAAGTGCATAGAAGTGCCTGATTTGTGTTTGTGTTCCACCCATTAAACATTCCACGATATTGCCCAGGATCTACTTCAGGGGAGACAAATCGGGATGAAAAGAAATTCTGTATATATACTGTATATATACAGTATAGATTAGTATATGAATAAATTAGTTATATAATACATAATAATACATATATATATATATATATGTCAAGTGTCTTACTGTAAATGGTGCGTGTGCTGAAACAATAAGGTCACCAACATCCAGACACCTGCAGCGCTGATCGCGATGTTGAAGGTCACCCTGGCCTACGTCGGGTGTTCGACGGCCGACGTCGTTCGGATGTTAGACTGACGGGTGCGACTTCGGATCAGGCAATGGGAGAAGAATGAGAACCCCGAGATTCCGGGAACAAGAACGTGTAATACCAAGACATTCCTTTGATGCCACTCTAAAATACCAAGACAGTTCGCAAGTGAGTGTGGGAAGAAGAACCTGTTTTGGGTTCGGGTCATGTTCCATTTGCGCACAGGTACTTTGGAGGATCCAGCCAGCCATGTCCTGTGACCATTCGATTCCTTCGATTCCTTCCGGTCCACTCCAGAGATCCATTCGGACGGCCGAAATGCTTTTCCATTTCGGCTTATACTCTTAACCTTCATTTCGGGGTGCGAAACAAAGATCCACGTATGTCATGTAGTGTCTATTGGAGACCCCGAAAGGAAGGTGCTGGTATCTTGTTGATATGTTTTGATGATTTGAATCATGTTTGATTATTTGATCCTCTACAGCCTAGTACGGCGCCCCCCAACACCTTGTGAAAGTCCAAAGTCGAAGACGTGATTCTATATCTCTAGGGCTCCAACTACCTCCTGAGAAGGTGGTTGGGGGTGGATTACGAGAAGTGCCCCCTGTACAGGATCAACTCAAGTTCGCAAATACAAGAGGTTGCGCATGGGAATCCAAAGCCACGAAAACAATACCTATAGAAACTATAAAGCGTGTAAAGGTGGTGTTCAAGACCAAAACTAATGACTATATATAACGTTTTCTGGGCACATCATGATTTCAGTTGGTCTTCCGCAATTGCTGTCTCGATTGCATGTCCGTATATTAACCAATCATCCGATTCTTTACCCGATAGGTTCCGACTCGTCGAATCAAAGCAACACTCCTTAAGTTGGAGGAAAAAAGGCTTTCGTGACTTGCTCGAGGAGGGCGCTTCCTAGTGAGCCAGTGATCTTCATCTCAGGTTTAGACCAGGGAGCTGAATGCCCAGGGAGCCCGTCCCTCACCTCGGCCACCTCGAGCTCAGGCTGCTTCACCAACTCCTGGCAACATCGAAGGGCTGGTGAAGCGGAGTGGAGAGGAGCAGCGACTCGGTGGATGTTTTTGGACTTGCAGTCTAGTCCTTCAAGAGGCAACTATTACTAGCAACAAGGACGCTATTAAATTATTAGATGGAGGCCATCGCTAGTAGGTTGGAGGCCATCGCTACTAGTAACAAGAACTACTAGTAGCTTCTTGTTACTAGTAGCGGTGGCCTCCACCTAATAGCGTCCTTGTTAGTAGTAGCTAGGGCCAGCAGCTAGGGCTTTGGACTTAGGCTGTGGTCCTTCAAGACGCTTTGTTCAGGCGCATGCTTAGCAACATGTTTTGAGGGCCTACCTGATGATACTTTGGTGCAAGACACATGCTCAACCGCTTCAATTCTGACCTTCAAGGAAGTTATTGCATGGATCTAAACTGACACGAATAGACGAGAAGAGTATATGTTTACATTTTTGAACAAACAACTACTACTCCACATACTTTGGAAACAACAACAAACAAACATAAACAAACACAACAAACACATCCTCAATGGATCTTCAGCATCCTAAAAGGTGGACCATCGAAGATCCGCCCCTGCGAATCTGGGTTTTGTTCCACTCAACAACGCTCCCACCATCTGGAGACCGCATCCTTCACCGGATGCGCGGTCGAAAACAGGAAGACGCCGCGAAAACAAGCAAAACGTGTTGTAAAATGGACGTGTTCCGTTTGGATCGCCTCCAAGATCTGCAAGGCCACAGGCCACACAGCGGCCTCACGTGGAAGGCAGGAAGGTTCAGGACAAGCGTGTGGGTCGTGGATCGAGATGACCAATGGAATAGACCCCTAAGAGATGGTTTATATGCGTTATATGAACCCCTAGACAAAAGACATCTTGGGGGTTGTGCCATCTACTCTGAAACCACTGTAACATGTTCATCTGCTAACGTTGGATTACTGTGATGGGGAAGCTAACTGGAAGGGTACCATAAAAGTATATTGGGTGTTGCACGTCTCATCTTCAGATATGGACATCCTAGATCCACCTGCTCTTCATCGTCCCATGGGGGTTGCCCCGACCCTCTGGTCACCCCACCTTCTCTGCTGCGCTTGCAACTGCCCCATAGCTGACGGCATCGGGTGCACCACGCGTCGGGTGCACCACGCGAGGCGGAGAAGCTGTGTCACCGCGCATGGATGCGAAAAAGGCTAGAGCCTGGCATGACGCTGTTCGGACCTCACCGGCACTGGGTATAGAGATTTCCATGAGAGGTGCGGGAGCCTCCGTTTCATGTGACGTGCGCCCTGGCTTCAAGAACCCAGGGCGAATCTGGGACCTTGGAGCGGATTCTTTTCAAAGCTTAAGATGCTTCTTTTACAGAAATCGCTCTACCTGGAGCCGACCCGTGAAAAGAACTCGGAGTCTACAGTATGGGGAACATAGTGCATGTATATGGAGGAACATATTGTAATCCTGTTTTTGGGTGCGGGGCTCCACAATTCAGAGTTGTCAGGGAAATTGGTCCGATTTCGTCCTCTGGTGCTTGTCATAGCCATGGTTCCACTCATGAGCGTTTTCGTTTCGAACATCCTCTTAGGATTCGTCCCGATGGTTCCGTGGAACCTTCTTGCAGTTCCCACTCTAGGTGCCCTTTGGACTGGGAGGGGTGCCCAATCAAGCTGACTGTCCGACCCCACAGGTACCCCCCACGCGAATTGAGGTCGCTTAGACTGTAAAGAGGACACTTTGAATTCAGAAGCTGGTTTTGGCTGTGTTGTTGTGGTGGTGGTGGTCGTCGCCGCCGTCGTCGATTGTTGTGGTCGTCGTTGTCGTCGTCGTCGTTGTGGTCGTCGCTGTTGCTGTGGCTGTTGCTGTTGCCGTTGTGATGTTTGTTTATTAATGCATTTTAATGCTAAACACACACGCCATCTCGGCAGCGACGCCCAACGCCTCAGCCCAGCGGCGACTGGCGGCATAGGAGGCCAAGACTGTGTTGTAACCTGCAGTGAAGAAGATCAATTCCCCTCAGCCTCCTGGCCCACCTCCTCAGAAGGTAGTTCTAGTTAATAGACCCCCCAATCTACCCCAACCACCGAACCTCAGGAGGTATATGGAGCGTTAGAGATCTGAAGATCAATCATGATCGATCATGATGAATGATGAATCAATCAAATCGCTGACCCTCCATGGGTTCCCTCATACCCAATACCCTATGGATCCAACTACCCTCGAGAAGGTGATGTGTTCGACTCTTTTTGTAGGCGCCAGGAGGGTCCAAACCCTGTCTGAAGGTCATGTGGATCCCTTACTTGGGGTATAGAACATGGGATTCATGACACACACCACCAAACAGGTATACGGATGTATACGGTATACGACTCCTGTGGGCCCATGGGCCCATGGACTTTGACTCTGAGGTGTTTAACTGAGAAATCGAACGATTCGCCTGAAAGAGGGTCTCCCTCACCTTCGTGCGTCGTGCGTCGTGCGACGTGCGTGCTGCTTCTTGTATTACTGGAGGGTCACTGGAAGGAACCTGTTCAATGGGCTCAGTCACCACATCTGAGTGGGAATGAGCATGGTGGTGAGCCCTGAAATCGAAGAAAGGGGAGACTTTGTGGACTTACCTCTTCAGTTTGAAGTCATGGGACTTCTGCCCCTACCCCCTTTTTCTTGTTTATTTTTTTTGTGTGTAAGCCCAAAAAGGGTGCAGATCCCGGGTGCAAGGTTGTGTTGATCAAAGTGTGATTCAACCCCAGGGCCTGGCCTACCTCCGTCTGGAAGGTTATTGGGGTGGCTTAGGGAGGGGTCTAACTATACCTTCTGAGGGGGTGGGCCAGGAGCCCTAGGAAATGTTGATTGGGTCAGGGTCCCATTTTCAAGGGCTTTGCCACGCGTCCTTTCGGGTCCAGGTAGCAATTCCAAAGAACTGCGTCAGGCTCAGGCGGCCGAGGTGAAAGATTGGTCCCAATTTGAGAGATGATGGGCACCCAGCATCGAAGGAACCAAACACAAAAAGCTTGTTTCAGAGCAGCTATAGGACCTTGAGTCCATCTTACCCTAGGGATCCACATACCTTCTCAGAAGGTACGACCGGGCCCCTCACTTCGCCTGCATAAATAGTCTCACTAATATAGTCTCCAATCATCTTTTGACAAGATACGACTGGATCCCGGTTCAGATTTGAGAATCTTCACTATGTGTCTGAGCCAAAACATCTGAACGTTTCGGGCTCCGTTAAACTTGATGATCAAGTAGCTGATGGTATCGCACAAATCGAGCTCTCGCCTCAGACGAAGACCATCCGGGGGCTCCAAGTGGACATACTGTGGGTCCTGGTAGGTCAATTGGTTCCCAAATCCGGGGGCCTGAAATGGTTTGAGGTTCTCTGAGGTTCCCTCAGGTTTCCCTGCAAAGATGTGGGGTGCAAGGATTCTTAGGGTTACATTTCCTGATATCATCATGGAAGTGGAAAATAGCCCCTTGGTAAAGACGGGTCGTTTCAGGCGACCCAGCCGAGCGGATCGACCAGGAGGCTTCGGGGGACGCGGGGCCGGTGGAGTGAGGAGGGTGGAGCTGGGCGTGTTCAGTCGGAAAAGTCTCCCAGCTTAGCTGCCGAAGATTTATGGCCGGCGTTACAAGGCACACTTGCATAAAAAACCATGAACGCCACCCTTTTCACAAACCCTATAGAACACAATAGAAGGAATGAATAATGCGGACTTTTTCCGTTGATGTGGCAGTGCCGAGACTCGCCCTTGGACATAACATAACTATACAGAAACCTTTTTGCAACAGCATCCTCGTGGGACGCCGCCTGCCGTGGACATCATATTGTGTAGTTTGTTGTCCCTTTACTCTACGCAGAATTCGAATGAACGGGGCAGTGCTTCACAACGATGAACGCTTCAGCGCAGTGCTGCGGCATTCCTGGCTAGATCTAGCTAGCAAAATGATTGTGTGGTTAAGGGCAAAAGGAACCTCATGGCCCCGCTTAGACTTGTGCAACTAAGCACCTACCAAGCAATGCCCAGCAACTCTGAATTCTTAGTAAAATACTGCCACCAAGTCTACACCCCCAAATCCGTGTATGCTGCTGGTATATACGGATCCTTACATGTCTGATTTCTTTGTATTCCTCACCACGGTACACATCAATCCTGCGCTTCACTTCCGTTTCAACGTGGCGCGTCAAACGTTAGACGTGCGCTCGCGCTCGCTGGATCAGATGATCGCCCCGACTTCTCTCCCCTTCAGCTGCAGCGGCATCCATTGAAAGATCTGCAAGGCCACCTTCCATGCATCGCGCGGCTCGCCCTCCGCCCCCGCCCGGATCAGCGCATTCGCGGTGATGCGATCCGGGCGGACCGGCCTGAGGCAGCGTCGGTCGCGGCGCGCGCGCCAGGCCGAGGTGAGGAGACCAGGCCGAGGGAAAGCTGAGAGAATTGGTCAAGAGTACCTGGGTGCAACTGCAAGCAATACCCTCGAAAGTGGGACATGGCCGAAAAAAGGGAAGAAGATAAAATATGACACTACCCATGTTCTGGGGTACTTGGAGACCCCAGGATCCGGCGAATGCTGAAAAAGGGTGCAGGGTCTTGGAGCATCCAGCCCACGACCATTTCCTGAAAGGACTTTCACCTTGAAGACCATCCTCAGGAGATACCTGGACCATATGGTACCAGGACCATATGGATCCATATGGGTATAGGGGTAATATGTACATGTACAACAAACTGTTGGGGTCATGAGTGTATTCAAAGATAGCTGGGGCACCAAGCTATTTGGTAATCATGCCAGTCGAAGTTTTGGGTTTTGGGAGATCGAGGAAGGCACTCCATGGATAGCATATTTACAAACATTGGGGTGGTTGACCTGGGGTCAATGTAGGTATATATATATACAGGTTCCATACTTTGAGTGTCTGGGATATCAAGTAGGGCAAAGAATGGAGAGGTCACCCAAAATGTGAACTGCCTCATGCAAACAACCCAAAGCAACAGATAGGTCAAGGACAGCTCGGATGTTGAAACTCAGGCATAGTGGTTCATGCTTGAAACATGCAAAGCCGAACAAACTTAGCATTCCCTTCTTTCCATTGAGCATGTTAGCCCTCGCCCATCGCACTTGCCTTATCAAGCCCATCTCTGCAACCCAGTACAATGATGAACAACCATTTTATTCATGGGCCCCAAATGGCCAAAACAACATCGTTTCAAACACAAAACATTTGAGGTCTCCTTGATGTTCCTGTCAATTAAACTTGCGGCACTCCACTCGTTCAAGGAATTTGGGGCACCGACTCCAAATGGGGAGACCATTTGTGACTGATATGTTCCCAAACAGACGCATTCCTGCAGCGTACATCCCACCCAACAGTCCCATGGTCCCCAGCCTCATCTCCTGAAAGAGCTGCAGTGCCATTGCCCAAAGAGTGCCCTCAGGCGGGAAAACAGCTGGGAAGGTGGTGAAACATCATCAACTCTTCAACCGAATCGTCAAGCATTATATATAATATATGGTTGGTTCATCAGCAGTTGATTGGTTATGATTGGTTATTGCTTCGATCAAGCAGTGTGGTTTGAGTCCCCAAAAAACAGCCTTGATGGAGGATGTCTCATACCCTCTTTGTGCATTAGCCCGAATCTTCACAGGGTCCAAGGCCCTGCCGTCCAGGGTCCAAACACTCTGAATTGGGCGAATTGGGTCACATGTGAAAGACAAGGACACTGCAAACACCCAACACACCTCCAAGTAACGCACGATTAAAAACACACCCATGGGTCACCAGAACAACTCCGTAAACCGACCGAATTGGGTATACCGGTGAGTTGTCCCCGTGACTTCACCCGGGACCCCGTGACTTCAAACGCCTTCCGCATGGCCATGATCGCCGCGTTGAAGCTGGAGGTCTCCGGCTGCCTGGGTGAAGATGTGGTCTACAGCTGACTCGAGTTCTCCCAAGACTTGACTCGTCCCAATGTCACAGAATCAACATCAGATTCTCCGCTTCACATCGGAAACTGGTGATAGCATAACATAGGTTTACCCAACACATAGAAAACTGGTAGGTAGACCAGTGGACCACCCTTGGGAAGACTCAGCCAATGCTGAAAGGGCTTTACTTTTAGAGTGCACTGATGTAAAAAACAAAAAACAACAAGTTGGGCTCTTGCACCATTTGCAGCCCATTGGTGTAGGGTTGCGACTAAAGAAGCTCAGACTCAACATCCAAGTTGGAGCTCAGGGAGTAAGGTGGGACCTCAGAATCTTAGCACTTAAATTGCATCATTATATCATACAAAACGTCTTCCGTCATACAAAACGTCAGCAGTTCCTGGCACAACAATACCACCCAAGGCATTTGGAAACAGTCTCAGAGTAGTAGAGCTTGATTATGTATGTATACAGTCATTTTGATGGAATGTTGGATCTATTTTGGGTTGCTTCTTCGGTTGAAACCCTGCTTCATGTTCCACCACACTCATGTCGGAGCCCTGGCTCAGACCAGACGGTTTGACCACCGTGTCCTCTCTCAAAACTCCGAACTCAGAGCTCCCAGGGCTGGGAGGCACTTCTTGGGGAGGCCAAAAAGAGGCCAAGTACAAAAGTTTAGTGATGCTCGAGTTCTCGTGGTATGCTTTTTACGAAGGCAAAGAGGATGGAACGCATGGAAAACCAACACTCAGGCCGAACACTGCGATTAGGTTCACAACCAAAGTAGAGGTTCTCAACACATATCCAATGCATATACTTCCTTGCTTCCTATGTGAATAGACACCTGCCACCCATCAAGTGCTATGATGAGTTTGCCGATCTTGGAATTGATTCTATGATCGGGGCGAGGCCGCCAAAGTCATGCTGTGATGACCAAATCCATAGTTTTTTCTAGCAGCGTCTGGCAGCCTGATTGACTCGTCAAGGAAGTCTCAAGAGAAATTCCTTGGGGCTCCTGGCGCGCCTGCTCAGAGGTATTTGGACCCTCCAAACCCACCCAAACACCATCCCTCGTGTATATAAAAGATGGCAGGATCTAGTGCATCCAGGTGGCACGTGTGCATGCGGCATGGTCTCGAAAAGCTGCAAGGCTCCTGAAGACATAAGACAAACACATCCAGCAAAGTATTTGACCAATCCGCATGGATTCTTGCTGGGTTACTTTCACTTCTGCTTGGTAGATTCAACTCACTTGAAAAATACCAGTCAGTGGGTTCAATACCAGTCAGTGGGTTCAATCATCTAAAGGTTGGTGGACAATCACCACCTAGACTTGTATGCGCTACTGCGAAACTATCAGCTGAACGGACCAAACAGCGACCGACCCCCCCAAAAATGCCCTAGGACCGTACGTTCATGCCGGTAGGCCATGTCTTTAGCTTGCCTAGCAGTACGGTACGTGTAAACGCATCTCAGAAAAAGTCCAGTCGTATCTGTTTTTTGTTCGGATCCAGGATAATATTCCCTTAACTCTATAGTGATTTCTGTGTACCTGGAGTCGACCTGTTGATACCTCAGAAAATAAGGAAAGTCGAACCTGTTCTTTGTTCGAGTCACGTCCCATTTTCGTTCGGGTACGATCCGGGTCCAGGTACTTTTGAAAGCCAACCGAAAAACAGACCGTATATATACCCTGTCTTTGTCATGTTTCTTCTCATCCTAGCAGCATGGTGACCCCACTTTTGTTTTTGAGAAACTGGCCATGACAACTTGTTGTATCGAAAGCACGTCCTCAAAATCAAATGAAGCAAAGAAAGCATCTGCCATTCTCAGGCTGCCGAAATCAGCTGACCTAATGCAAAACTCCCAGGTTCGCGCCCGGGCCCTGCATTCACCGGATTTGTCCTTGCCAGCGGCTGGCCCACTGAAGGGCATGAATTGTGGCATTGTAGCTGATGACATCCTCAACAGCCAAGCCATTGGATGTTTAATGCTTGAACACATGCAGTCACGCGCACGGGTCTTGGCTCCGAACATGTCTTGGACCGACAAGTTGAAAGGGTCCAAGATGTCTCTCGTGTGAAACTGACAGAGATCATTTCTCAACCTCTCGTGAGCCTCTTCGTGGCTCCTTGGAGGCATAGCGTCCTTGCTCCCAGTAGCGATGTCCCTTGTTGCTAGTAGCTTCTTGCTACTAAGTAGCGATGTTAGGAGCTACTAGTAGCGTCCTTGCGCCTAGTAGCGATGCACTCTCGTGAGCCTCTTCGTGGCTCCTGACAGGCTCTTGTCCTGTCAAAAAGAAACATATGCGCAATCAAGTCTTGGCCCTGGAAGGTGGGCGAATAGGGCTCTGAAGAGCCAGGTGAGGGCTCTGAAAAAGCCGTTACCACCAGTGTCCCCTCAGCCGCCAGTTTCACATGTTGCATCTCAAGAATATCAACCTGGACCCTCAATGTATACAAGATACCAATGTTTCTCGGGTACTTGGAAGGTCCAAGGTCCGATTCGTGAGAATCCCAACAGCCAGGGCGAGCCCGAAAACAGTCAGAGACGCGCACCCGTCTTGAGTCCCCAACTGTACTGATTTGCTCCCGTTTGGCACAGCCTATCCCTCGTATTTGGGAAGATGGGGCGCCGGCTCTACTGCCTGCATGTTTGCTGGAGGATTCCAGGAATTGAGTTGCTTGAGATCCACTCCCCGCTGAACCACCTAAGCACATCCAAGCTACTGCCAAAGAAGAGTGGTAGGCATCCTGGAAGAGCTGCAGTGATATCCTTCACAAGATAGAATCGTTGCAAAAGACCTTCTAATGAAAGTTTAACTAAGCACGATCAAATGTCACTCTCAACCACCCAAGTTATATGTGTCGAGAAGTACAAACAGCTCAGCTCATTTTGACAGGAGGGTTGAAGAGGTGTGAGTGATGGCATATTGAACTTTGTTCAATCCGTCTTTGCTTGCTAGAGATGAATTGTTGATTTCGAGGCGGGATGCGATGATTTAGCGTTTGCAAAAGAAAAAGGTGTCGACAAGTATGTTCCTTGATGTTCTTCCCCCAAAAAGATGCAATTTCCCTACAACTGGAAGAATCTTGAGCTTTCAATTGATGGAAACCTTCCGGGACCTGCAGAGGGTGGCACCAGGTGCATAACAGCTTAGAACGAAGCGCTTCGTCACGAAAAACGTCACAGTCCATCTTGTGGAGATGTACCTAGACCCTCAAAAGTACCCTAGAAAATGGGACATCCTAGAGGAAAAAAGAGCGGGTAAGTACTTGTACTATCTTGTACTCATGTGTTTGAGGTACAAACTGAGACCTTTATATAGGTATAGATAAAAAAAAAGAACCTTCGACGGAGCCACCGGGTGTCCACAGGGTCTTTCTTTCAGTCGACAGGGTGGGATTAGCTAGAACCCCTTCCCGTCTCGTTCAAACCGAGGTCCGGGACGCTCGACCTGTTTCAGCTAGAACTCTAACAGGGCCACTGGGGAGAGTGTGGGATCTATTAGCAACAACAAAAACACGTGGACCAAACCCCCAGAATTGTTACTGGTCGTGAGCAAAAACAAGAACCTGTCGACTTGTTTAAGTACCTTGGAGTCTTTCTGGGGGCCTCACTTGTATGTGTGGTTAGTTCATGTTTAGTTCATGTCCCATGTATGTGTGGGTACGTGACGGTTCAGTCGTCGGGCCAATGGGCCGACCATCACCAGCTCTTGACCGTAGCTGTCGGTAGTCTGAACCTGTCCGCCTGTCGTAGATCCGAGGCCAAAAACTCCAGCTGGTCCAGTGCCCCGCAGATCGAACCGTTCGAACGATGATGCCGTTCAGGCTCTCCCACTGCAGGGCCCTCCCACACGCAGTGATGCTGGAGTTGAAGCTGATCGGGTCCTCGGCGGAGAAGATTTTCACGCGAGTTGAGGCTTTCTGTAGCTCCATCCGCAGGGAGCGACTTGGCGAGGAGGCTTATTTGAACCGCCGCCAGCTCCCGCCGCCAGCCAAACATGAAACTCATCGACCTGCGATCACGTTCCACGTCACATCGTTCCTATTGTTTGGGAAACAACAACTCTGATATACTCTGATGCCTGAAAGTTTGAATTCACCAGACATCAAATCTTGCAAAGGTAAACGGTGTATACATATGTACGTAACCATACAATACTAATCATCAATCAAACCAGCTGTTCCCAATCTGACCTACTGGTACTCAAACAGAACCTGCCTTCATAACACTGGCAACCCCTGCGGCGCCTTCTCCCTCACCCACCTGGGCATCCTGCCGAGCCTCACGGGCTCCTCCCAGCTGAGCAAACAGATCCAGGGCAGATCGCCAGGACCTCGGTGTCCAGATCGTGAGGCCCCAACGAGCAGACCTGGGCCGCCTATGGATCCGACCACATCCTCGGACCATCTTGGACCCACCCTCCGGGTGGCCAAGGCACTTATAGAAAATGGCTCCTTTGAGAAATCCCACATAGAACTATGTATAAGTGCCCATGGGTAGCCCCTAATGTGGAGAAAAAAACTCCTTCCGTTCCAAGCAGTGCGATACACAAATACACATATGCCACACACTCCTTGTATTGAATATAATATACACCTACATTGACCCCTGAAACCACCCCAATGGAGGTATGTGTGCCATACGTGGAGTGTCTGGTTATTGGATAGTTCCATATAGATCCATATAGTTCCCAGATATAAACATGGCAACATATTTAATATGAAGTGAAGTTTATCTCATAAAATGGGCATAATTCACTCTGCAACAAACTGAGGTGCGGTGCTTCTGATTTCTTCCATCTGCCGTGAAACCGAGGAAGAACTTGTTTTGAGGAAGCCTTGCTTCAAAAAACACATGCCAGTTGCCAGTCGGGTGGATGAAGGCGAGCAGGGAACACATTCAACACGGCGATCCGCAGTAAATCCGATCGACCCCATGACTCAGTAACTTGCTCCGCAGCACCATGACCACCGCGCTCTTAAGTCTGTGGGCGCACTCTTCTCACATCTGCTGATACTCAAGTTGATCCGTGCCACATCCTCCAGGCATGCGCTGCGGTTGGCCACACACATTATGGCGCCATATGGACAGAACCCCATGGCAGTGACACACATGGAATGCGTGAGAAGTAACACATTTGCCTGGTGTTCCTTGTGTTCATGTATGGTCAGGGACTGACAAATAGAACCCCCACATCCCCGCCATCACTGACAAATAGGTGTACACTTAGAACCAGGTCTAGGTCATTCTTGCGGAAATCCATTTAGAACCCACGGCACATTCTATCTTTCAGTCCAGCATGTTCCCCAAACGTTCACTCTTCTGTGGGATCTTCACGTACTTAGAATGCATCAGCAAACACTTTGCTGCATTCCAACCTGTAGCCTTTTTGGCTTGAAATGGAACAAGTGCTTCGAGCAGCCTTGCGCCCGGGTGATTCCGATGGAGAAGAACCAAATGGAATGCCACCATTAGCAGTGGAGGAACTACCACCACCAACACCACCAGTGGCAAACGATGAAGGTGAACATGGAATCCGGGTTGACCTTCCATTGTGTGTCAAGAAGTCAAAGGAGATGCTACTGGGAATCATGTTATACAAGTGGAGAGGCTCAGTCTGTTCATTGTTTTCCAAATTGGAGTTCACAGCAAACTGTACATCCTTTTCTTGAGACATACTAGATCCCTCAGCCGCAGGCTGGAGGACAAGGCTTACAAGGACGGCTGGGAAAGCAGCGTCGAGAGGGTGGGTGGGACGGGATGCTGCGCATGTTTTTCAAGTTTGTGTCATAAATGAACTGGACTTCCCCCTGAGCAACCAGATCTGTTGAGTGCTGTCCAGTTCAACAAATACACCCCATGGACCCTCAAAAATCATCCAGTGGCTTTGAGAGTCCTAAGCTCGGCAGGAGGGTACATCTGATACCACTGTCAACCTGTCAGGACTTGTGACATCCAGGAGTGTTAATCTGACTGGTCCCTCCCGTACCATTGACAACTGTAACATGATACAGTGAGACAGTGATACATGTGAATCTGCAGTGGTGGGCAAGTCGTTTAGGACGTTCCCCGCCACTGCTCACATGTCAGGGCCCCCAGAGGTGTTCTGAGTGGGGTGCTCCGACCGCCCTGAGCCACCAATTCACCAATCAGTCCTTCCCACGGAATCTCATCTATCGGCATGAGCCAATGCGGAGAAACCTCACACGGGTGTTCCCAAACAGCCAGCACTTTACTTTGCGAGCCGTGCGTGGCAGCCCCTTTGAGAGCATAAGAATTGGACGAACATCGATTGGACATGACGACATGATTGCAAAGATCTTCTACAAAACAAGCCACTATCTGTGGAAAGTAAGAGCTCGCAGTCTTAGGCTGCACAAAAACACCACTATCAGCGAACCCCCGGATTACCCTACATCACTACCCGGAGCCTACCAGTTCGTACCTCCAAAAGTGAGCTACCTGTTTGTAGGGTCATGTCTCATGTTCTAGGGTACTGTGGAGGGTCCAGGTCCATGTGTGGTACGCGACAAACAGTCGACGCAGGGACAACGTTTCTACCAAGGACGCCTAGGCAAGCCTTCGCGCAAGTACTGGTGGCTTCGTGAGAGCTTGTGCAAGGATCTTTTGAGCGGCAGCGCACGACCAGAAAAACTTGCTGAAGATGATGCTGCAGAAGGGCGCAAAGCCTGGATTTATCGGTTCTGTGCCACTTTCTGCATGCGAGCAGCGGCCTTGAAGAGCAGAGTGTCTATCTCATTCTCTGTCTCGACTAATTTGGCAGGCTGCACGTGCTTTTGTCTTGCTGGCTGGGCCTTCCATGCTCGTAGACAAGACATGGGCCACTTTGACGCTTTATGCGCTCCACGACATGTTTCAGCAGGGAGATGACTTTGTTGGCAAAGGCAGTCTTCTCCATGACCCTGTCGGCAAGGGCATTGGCCACCTCCTTCTTCTTGCAAGCAAACATGGTCACGAAAGGCTACCCACATAAGCGCTAAGGACCTTAAGGGCTAAAGCAGATGGACAAACTACTGTTCGCCTACGCCTGTCCTTCGTGAGTGCCTTCGCGGCGGAAGCCTGGCTTCTCAGAAGGCTTGAAATTGGAAGGAGCCCATGCATAGAAACAATGGGCAATGTGCTACTAGTGTGACCACAATACCTAGTACACCTACCCACAAGTTGAAATATGCTGAAATATCAAGTCCGGTCACCCCTTTCAAAGCCCAGTGTTGTACTCACTGGATTCGATTTAAGAGCTTTCATACTGGTCGCCATCAATTAGAGCCTACGTCAACCTCAACACAGAGTTATCCACATATTTCCTACGCGAGCCTACACGCAAGGCTGACAATACAACACTTCTGCCTTCACTTTCGCGTTATCTAAATTCCATCATCCAGAATCGCCCTCAAAATGAGTTCGAGTCTAATTAAATTCTTTTTGTTCCTACTAGTAAGGCACTTGTTACATCTTGTTACTAGTAGCGATGCACTTGTTACTAGTAGCTTCCCAGAAGAGGGGTTTTGGTTCGAGTCCAGACCTCTGGACCCGACGGGTCGTACGGATGGCCAAACCGAACTCTGTGGTGCCCAACTCGGACGGTGGTCAACCGGGGCGAGGGCCTGTTTTTGAAAGGACGGCGTTCCAAGGAAGACCTGGAAGAGGGGCCCCACAAACCGGGTTTTCCGCCAACAACGCTGCATGGCTTGTGAAAACTAAAACCTGTATATACTCTTCCTATATAGTTTTGAGGGCCACTGGTTGGACATAGCACACACACAAATCCACTTAGAGGAGCTGCTGGCCAATGAAAACAAACTGTGCCTTTTGGCGGCAAGATGAGAGTAACTTTTTAAGATGTTCACCCTGAGCTGCGAGTTCCAAAGCCTTCCAACGAATGCAGTGTATACTCAGATCATGTTGGATGGGCGTAGGCTTAGCCCCGGTCTAGCCCAACAAAAAGTCCATTGGATTTGTTCCATCCTGCTTGTGGGTTTTCAGCCCAAGCATTTGATCCAAGATCCAAGCTTTTGGATTGAACATCCAACCTACGAAAAATAGCGGATATTGGGTGCAGGTCTGTGGTTTTGTTTCCACCCAAAAGGATTCCACCCTGGTCTGCAGGCTCTGTGTCCGCCTGCCATCTGCGAGGGCGGCGGAGCGGCTGAGAAGTGGCCTGCAGACGTGGACTGAGGCGCTTGTGGTCCATGCGAATCCGTCCCCATTGGGATCCAAATACCCTCTGAGAAGGTGATTGGAGCAAATTGGAGACACTTTTCGGTTTGGAGGGTACGACTGGAGCCCATACGGATCCGGAGGTTATATCATGTTATATCTTGCTGCAAGCAAATGAAGGGGTTAGCTTGATCAATTCCGAGAACAACGAAGAAAGGAACAATTGTCCCGAGTGTCTCCGGAAGCAAGGCGTGACCATCGACAGCATGGGTCCTACCATTCAGTCACCCTGGCTTGAACACACCCAGGCCCAGGCAGTTTAGGCACCGATCCGAAGGCCCTCCATCGCACTCCTCACGCCTTCTCTCTCGACTCCGTCGCTCTCATCCATGGCGCGTTCGACCGGACCGCGGTTCGACCGGACCTTCGGATCGACGCTCCGAACAGACCTGCTGATCGGAGCAGAAAGCTGGCAGAAAGCTGGCAGGTACCTGTTGGAACATGCTTTTCTTTCGGGTCATTCAGAGGGTCCGGGTAGGCTGGTTCATGTATAGGAGGCTATAGCCGGTGTTTTCAAGGACAACCACGATTCGAGGACCGATGGCCAACTGCCGATTCGTCTCCAGAGGCAATCTGGTCAGATGCGATGGGCTCTCGGTTGCACTTCAGTTTCTCTTGTTCCGGGCCCATGGCCCATCTCTTGGCTTTATATATTTAGTATAACAAGACCACTATAAGGTTGACCCTGGCTTTCAGCACTCAACATGTGAACGATAGGTTTTACATGGCTGCTTTAAGGTCCACAAGTCCTGGCTCCCGAGCCGTTTCTGGAAATCTTCCGCCAGCCTGTTTCTACCTGTTCATGTTATAAGTGTTCAAAAGAATCTCCAACAAAAGGCTTATCCACTTGTCCTAGGGTCTGCATCAGAGGACCTGTTCCTTTGAACATGGGAGGACCTGTTCCTTGGGGCTCATGGCACACGACTCCAGGCATGTGCTCTTTCTCTCGAGCCCCAAGAGCCACTTTTCACAAGCCAAGAGCTTCTTTGATTCGCAGTGTGGTCCGGTTCTCTTCGCTCTGGTTGCACAAGGTGCGTACCTTGGAAGAAAAGAAAGCTCCTCCGAGGAATTTCCGGTCACCACCAGCTGGCAGACTGATGGATTTGCCCAACATGACCCTGGAGTTCCAAGTTGGAGTGATCAAAGGACCCCAATCTAGATGAGTGGATTCAGCTTCTGGGCCCACCCTCCTGGAGCAAGGCACTGTGGAACTTCCCTCTGGAACCCCTGGAATGCTTGAGCCTTGAGCTAAAGGCCTCCTGGGAAGCCGTTAGTGGATCCAGCAAGAAAGGTATGAATCTACAACCTAGAAAATGGGACCTGACTGTGTCCACAGCTATCGAGATAGACCTTTGACTCATGGAAAGATTACAATATCTATGCGACTATGCAAGCAATCTGAAGAGAGCACCCATTACTGGACTACAAATCACTTCTACAATCAAGCACAGCAGCGGTAGACAAAGCCAAAGGTCAGCATCTAGGGAGCATGCAAAAGTCAACAGCAACAAAACAATCAGCAAGGATGAAAAGGTCAACATCTGCTGAAGAAAAACAACTGTCCTTAGCATTCCTTAGCTAATCCCTACAAATAAAAACCCTATTTCACAGCCACCCTGCAATCTGTTTCATAAGACGAAAAGCTGCAGGTGGCATTGCCAGGAATCCGGCCGCTCTGCAAAAAGGGATCAATGTCAATGCATTTCAGATGAGATTCTTGTGGTTCCCTATGATTGGATAGAAAATAGGACATGACCACGAAACCATCCACCAAGTCACTGCCTGTTCGTTGCTCAGCAGCGCCCCACGCAGCTGGAGACCCAAGTCACTGGTGGCGTCCCAGGACACCAAGGCCCCCACGAGGCCCAAGGGGATCTCGGTCAAAACGCAAGGCGTTCAGTCAAAAGGGGGAGCGGAGCTCACTGGAAAGTACCCTACGGAACCTGTATGAACCTATACACCCGACGGACCGTGCGTAGCCGAACGAAAATGGGAGATGGCCCGAACAAGAAACAGGTGCGACTGAGGCCCCAGGTACTAGCACCACCCAAAGGGTGGTGTACCAGCACCTCTAAACATCGTGGAGATGAGGCTTCTAATTCAGAACATATCAGAAGTTGTCTGGTGTTCACACTCTAGGAGGAAACTCCTGTTGTCTATATATATGAATAAAACCTGTGTTTGTATACTAGTGACAAAAGCAATAGAGGGAATAGCATCCTGTCAATAAAACAAAGAGGTTTCCAGAAGTCTCAAGGTCTGTTAACATGCGCTTTTTACAGAATAGGCTGTCGCTTTGGTTTAGAAATGAACGGAAACGAACGGGTTGGAAACACACAGATAACAACACGTGTTGTGTTTTGGCACTGGAATGCTGTGGATGCTACTTTACCAAATCAAGTCCTCCATGTCCCCGTCGATGGAGTCCAAGCGTCGCTCTGAGTAGCGGAGATGCTCGCAGCGCATTGCAGTACAGGACCGTAGAAGGAGACCTTGCAAAGAGTACATTGGGCTTAAACGTTCAAGTCCAGCAAACACGCGATGCGCTGAATCAGCGAAGCGAGGGACGTCACTTTAGCTTGGGGGGGACATCGTTTTACACCTCATTTCCGCTCTAAAATCTCTAAAAGGCGGCCTTGGGCACCCTAACGGCCCGAAAGAAGAAGCCACACACACACGGTAACAGAAAGGGTTTGGGATGGCTTCAGAATGGGCGAATGTGTGAATGTGTCAAACACCCTGCTGTCAAAAGGAACGCCCAACGCGACACTCCCGAACAGGTCGGCCGTTGATTCGTTCCGCCGCAGAGGCGCCATGTGCTGCGTCAATGGCCATGGAGTCGCCCCGCTGGGCGTCACGGAGGCTTCGACGGTGCCCAAGGCAGCCTCCGTGACGACGACGACGACGACGACGACGAACAGGTCGACTCCGGTGATCAAGGGAACTGTCAAGGGATCTCCCAGATCAGTGCAGGAATTCATCCAACAGGTACATCAGTCGCCCAAAGAAAGGGTTCCATTCTTGATCATGCTGCCGAAAAAAGGGGCTCAACCTCTAGCAGCCGCCATGTGCACGCTCGCATCCAATGACACCTTTTGGCAACAACAAAGCTACAAGAACTCCAAGGTGCTTCTTTTCACGGTGGTCTTAGAATTGATTATATAATTAATTCAAGAAAACTTCAAGAATCCCAAACCCTCTTCTCATCTTCGCCAGGAGGCACTCACAGTCTGTGGGGCCCACGAGGATGCGGAAGCCTCAGGCCCAGTTCGAAGGATGCCCAACGATGGCAGTGCCCTACCGAGCATCCGGGCCTTCAAATGGGAACGATTTTGAGAGCATGAGAGCTAGACACTGGGTAAGACTATAGGATGATGATGCCCAATAGCGACCTTTCCCAAAAGGTCTTGCACCACTTTTACCCGCTGAGGCATAGCACCTACTCGGTACAATATCCAACTTCAAACTAGTTCAATCATGCTCATAGCATCTCATAGCTATCTTTGGGTTATACTATTGGGGTTCCAAAATTGGGGAGCCCACCCTGAATCCACACAGAATGACACAGAACATCAACAAGCTAAGGATCTTTGAGATTGCCAAGATTCTCACACTCTTTCCCAGACTCTTACAGTTTACATGTTGAATCTCCCGGGTGTTCAAGTTCCTCCAAAGCGGCCAAGCTCCGGCAAAGTGCCTGCAGCGCTGGGGCGCACTCTGCGTTGGAGCGCGCCGAGACCTGAAGCCAGCCCCCAAAACACCGAGGCTGAGGCCGAGGCCGAGGCCCTGGGAACTGCCCGACCACGCTCCATGAAAACAGCCCTTTCCAGGTCCCTCAAAAGCGGGCCTTGGTTCGACTCCAAAGCCCTTCCCTCCGGATTCGGATCCCCGAACCTCGGGTCTGCGTGGCATATGTACGAACGTACGAAACGGGGCTGGAAAGGGGGTCAATGTAGATGAGATGTTCCCATGGAGTGTTAGGATGGGACATCATGCCCCAAAGATCCAAATACCCATCATTCAAGGTCATAGTTTCTTTTGCGGACCTTCTTGAGGTGCTTGTATCCGTCGTCATGCACTACATTGCGCTACTGTGTTTTTGATTGTTTAGCAAAATGCCAGTCGCCAGTAGAATGCTACTATTGACCAGTGAAAGGAAACATGAGTCACGACATTCCCTGTCTGTAACTGATTTCAACCTGGTCTGAACTGCTTCAGGTGACAGCTTCCGAAAGAAATGAACCACAACAAGGAATAAGCCCTAAGGCTCCGGGCCCACCTCCTCACAAGTTAGTTGTATAGACCCCCCTAGCTCTCCCCAACCACCTTCGAGACGGAAGTAGTTAGAGCCCTAGGGAAGAGTGGAGAAGCCTCTGCTTGGTCATCCCAGGGGTCATTTTCCACCTCCATGATTGTTGAAGGGAGCGTAAGTCCAGTTACTGTAAAATCCGGTGCCAGCACCACCCATTTCGGATGGTGATTGAGAACCTACATCCTCAGGATGTCTATGAACCACCCTTTCCCTGCTTTTGGCACCTTCAGCCTTCGGGCAGCCCGAGGGAAAAAGAACCCTGGGCAGCCAAAAACGTTTCCCATGTCCCCTTCTCCCACCCTGAAAAATCTGCGACAGGTGGATCCCTATCCGATGAAACCCAAATCCCTAAGCGTTCGGTGGATCCTGACAGGCCGATGCGTTGTTTGGACCTGGCCGTTTCTTGCATGGTCTTTTTCTGACACTCTGTCTACAGTATATAGACATCTTGAAAGTTCTAGACATCTGGGGCCCCTCTAGACATCTGGGGAAGCCAGGCCAGAACACCACAGGCCTGCACCAATTTCTCCAAAGCCAAGACCAAGTCCTCATCTCCTTCTGCCGCTGGCCATACCTCGGGCCATACCGGCCCGGACCCATACCGGGGCCATACCGGGTGCTGGGATTCCGACGTCGAAACAACATGGGACATGACCTGCCACATTTCCACCTAAAGGATATCACAACGTCTGAAGGAACTGAGATGCCAGGTGGCTTTGATCTTTCATATTGAAGACTTTGGTGGCCACGACTTTGGTGCCACAGGAAAATGGACGTGCGGAATGGTCGGACATTTCCTGTCATGTTGGTGTCCTAAGAAAACTCATTTGCAGCTCACTGCCAGGCATTTTGAAGCAAAGCCTCATCATGTACTTTTGTTTGATGCTTTCGTGGGCTGGTGACGGGCAGTGATGGGAGTGGGTGAGAGGGTAGTTGGATCCCATAATAAACCAAGCAAGAACACAACAACATACTATTATATAGTTATAGTACTTATGGTCTATGGTAGTTCTCTATATATAACATGTCCACCCATATTGAAACTACCATTGTTTTTCCAGAATGCATGATTCAGCATTGGTCTCCTTTGCCTGGCAGGGGTCGCTCCGAGGCGCGGCCAGCCAAAGCTGCAAGGCCGGCTGCAGCAGCTGTGAAGCAGTGACGGCAAAGTGGGCCACACGCAGCACGAAGTGGACCTGGAGTCATGCGATCATGGATGTCGGGCTTCCCACCCAGGTGTTTCCACCCCAGGTGTGGATGGCCCGGGGCTTCCTACACGCGTAAGTCACAGATACCTATAGATCTTCCAATTGAATGTGCAACAATTCTGCCGAACTTGGCTGGCTTTCTAGATCGACGAAAAGGCATATATTCCAGCTCCAGCTATTTGGTTCATCTGCTGAACATCTTGTGGGCAGTATTATGAAGTTCACCTGCTTTCTTTGGCGCTTCCACTTTGTTTCATTTGTTCACCCAGCAAAATGGTGCTGATCCCCAAATTGGCCTTTGACCGCAAACGAGACGTCACCTCAATTTCCATATCCTGTTTGCTCTTACCTGGGTTAGTGAACATGCAATGCCCATGTGATTGAACACCTTCTTTAAGAACTTTTTGATGTCGACTTGAATGCCCGGACAGGTCCCAGCGACCTCACATCCACTTCGATTTCTTTAAAAAGTCCATCCACCCGGAAGTTTCCCGTGCCGCCGCTGCCTGCTCTGCCAGAGGCACATGTCCTAAGACCTGTGCACAATCACGCCACCAGAGCTGGCAGAGTTCCGCCCTGGGCGGAACTCGGGGCGCGAGGAGTTCATGGTCCATGTAGAAGAGCGAGCGCCACCCGACGTCAGGGTCAGGGTGGAATGTTGAACATGTACAGTTACAGCTAAAGCCCAAACGTGCGTCTAGATTCTTGAGGTCTAAGGTCCAGAAAGTGTAGAAGCAGAAGGTCTAGAGATCTAGACGTGTTGGGTTTTAGAGAGATTGAGAGATCTAGAGGTCCAGAGATCCAGAGGTCCAAAGGCCTTGAGATCCATCTGGGTTTTGAGGTCCAAAAAGATCTAGAAGTCCAGAAGATCTAAATCGAGCACTTGTGATCCAGAGAGAGCCCCTAAGCTTCTGGAGATCTAGAGTTTGAGGTCCAGGACATCTAGAGGTCTAGAGATCTTGAGATCCAGACAGATCTAGAGTCCTAGAGGTCTAGAGATTGAGATAGTCGTCGTGATAAGCAGGGAGGTCTTGAGACTTGAGATCAAAAAGATCTAGAGATCTAGAAGCCCAGAAGTCCGGAGGTTGGGGTCACTGGGGTCTAGATCTAGAGATCCAGAGCCCGGCCAATCCGTGTTTTTACGAGCCTGTCAATCCAAACGCAAGGGCCGTAAGGGCCACAGCAAAGTCTGCTGACCAAAAATTCCACACCTGAGCCACCTGATCAAGTTAAGCTCCACAGCACGGACTGTCCGTTGTTTGGGGCAGTGCACTTTCAGAGATTTGGGCTGATCTAGGTTCCTTTGAAGGGCTTGAAACCCAAACGAAGGGTTCCACGTGGGGCCGCAGTGCCTGAATCTTTGAAGCCTGGTTTGCTAAACGGCCAAACCAGAATCCTTCAAGCTTCGCTTGGCAGATATTGAAAGAACACCTCTAGTATCCCACCCTCCCATGCAGCTACAGAATCAACCCTCTGGATCCATCGGCATCCAACCCATGTTCCAAATCTTCACCATCAAACCGCATTTCTTTGAGGCCAGGCCAGTCAGCCACTCGCCCCGTCGCGCCCCCGACTCCGAGTCGGGGCTTGCCTCACCATACAAGCCACCAACGCCCGCGCACGCGAGGGCAGCTCTGAAGCCGAGGCCTTGGGGAACACGAACAACCTGGACAATCTCAAAACTCGTGGCGCTGAAAAGGAGTCAATGGACATATGACATAATATATATATATATTCCATGCACCAGCAGTTCCAAAGGGGTGTTTCATGGAGGTTAGGTGTGCCTCTGTCACATCCACTCACTGGATAGTACTAAACACCACCCCTTTGTGACTCCTGGCATGGAGTGTTTGCGATAGAATATTACATGACCCGAACAAACTGGCACCAAGGCCGCAAGAACCTGGAGCAACAGTCAGCCAGAACCTGGTTTGTAATGAGAATGGGCTGGATATGTACTTAACTTCCAGTTCGACCCCCTGGAAATAGATCAGTCTACAGATCAGTCTACCCATATTTAATTGCACATGTGCTCTGGACCTCTGGAAAGTCCCTGAGGTCCAAGGTCTCTCTGTTCTCCTAAGAAACATCCACTTGGCAATCTCAAAAAGATCTCAAGACCGCTGGAGCTGGTGTTCCTGTGATGTTTATGAAACTTGTTAGATTATTTTGTTTTGGGAGCTCCGAGGCACTCCCAGTATGCAATTTATGCAATTGTCATCGTAACAAATTGAAGGCACTTCCTATTATGAGTTTATGAGGAAATTCTGAATCTCCCTGAGACGAGTGGACTGATGAGGCTGGGACGCTTACGTAGTGCCGAACAGCTTGCCACCTACCTGATTCAACCACCAAATGTGCTTGTATATTTGGTATTTTGCATGCTTTAATGAATCATTCTTAATTATCGCGGAAAACACATACAGTACATATATATATAATATACCGTAACCCTTGTGTCCTGTTTTGTACTTCATAGTTTGTTGTTTCATGTTTTCCTCATGTACCCTTGACTTCAAAATCAGGCACCCACTCCTGTTGGTGGAAACAACAACTCTTTCTGTGCAGCTCATACGGAGCGAATACCCATGAAGGAGACCCAGTGCGAGGGTCGCCTCGGCACAAAGCTTGGCCCATTGCTGCGCCAAAGGCCGTGCATCCTGTGATGAACCCAGGGCTTCAAGGGATTTCAAAGCAAAATTGTTTTGTCCATGAGCAAAACCAATTGGGATACATTGGGATACTTTACTCGACTCAAACAATGTCATAATGAATTCAAAGACCTATGGAGAAGGCGGTTATATAGGGATGTTTCACAATGACTAGAGCCTCATCTGAGTAGGAACCTCATCTGTGGTACATCTGCCAGCCTCTTGACTCAAAATACATAGTAGGAACATCTACCTGGAGTTTCAATGTACCTTGGAAAATGAGTAGTTTCCAGTGCGTGTTTTGTAGAAACCGTGTCGTGTCCGTAGAAAGCTTCGTCTGAAAGCGGGATTGGGATACTGAGAACGAGACATGTCACGGCCTCAAGCAACTCGGCTGCAGCCTGCACCAAGCCAGTCCTGTCTGCGAGTGTAGTCTGGGGTCCACGAAGAGCAGCCAACGGTCAACATGTTTGGGATGATCATGGGTTTTTCCGTACCTCCGAAGATGATTATATATATATATATACTGTTTTTTTTAATATCGGGTCATGTCGCATTTTCTGGGGTGCGAACGATTTCGAGTCCAGGTACAGTATCTTATATCGTTCTGCTCATATCTGCGCCACCCACACCAAGCCTCAAAGACAATTTCCGCTATTTCATTTTATTCTCGTCCGACAAGTCCAGTCAACAAAGTTTCCTCTCCCATATTTCATCCCCAGTCACTCCCCGTTCAACGCTCGCTGCTGCAAGCGCTCCGCCGTCGAAGCCGTTGCCACGATGGAAGCCGTTGCCACGCGGGACGCGGCCGCAGAGGCTGCCAGGGCGGAGGGCAGTGCCGTGAAGGGCGCGAGGCGATCGTCCTAGGAGGAGTGAACGCCCTAAGAGGAGTGAAGGAGCGATTCTTGATTCTTGGGGTCCTATATCCAGCTCAACAACTGAAGATGCGCCCCCCCGATACCTTGTGCTGTGTTTTTTCTGTTGTAGCACTTTTAAGATCACAAGGACGCATCGGTGCCGACAGCCCACAAAAAAGCCCTGCAAAAGGGGCAACTGTAAACACAGCCAACTAGCCAAATGTACCGTTTATTCACCCAGCCCATCGGCTCAAAGATCCAGACATCGAGCAAAAGAAGGGGTTTGGTCCTCCAAGTGATATTTGTTCCAAACCCTCTGTTCCAATACTCGATCCGTTTTATAGTATCTTTTGTCATTGATGACTCTTGGAAGTCTGGTGATTTAAGACCCCACTCATTGGATGACTGTTCCAAGGATGGCAGAACTGGAGAGGAAGGGCCAGGAGTCCCCAAAGAAAGTACACTAGACAAAAAAAATAGTATATAAATATACATCAGCAGTACCTACAGTCTCAGTTCGTACCTCGGAAAATGGCTACGGTCGTACCTGTTTGATTGTTTTTTCTTTTTTTGGGGGGTATGATGAGTTATGTCCCATGTTATAAGGTACTTGAAGTCGGGTCCAGGTATTCCCATGTACACTCCCTGGAACTAACATGGAAGTGGATGGCATGGCCTCTTAGACGTTCCTCTACCAACAGGTGAATTTCCACTTCGTCAGTTCCAGCGGAGCGTCTCCCATCATCCGAACCGGATGGTGGTGTATATGCCCCCTCTTCGGAGGGTCCGATGGGGAGGGGGGTCGGTCGCTCCGCCGTCGGTCCGAGCTGCCAGTAACAATGGAAGCGCCTGAGAGACGTGAAAGGCGACGTGTCTCACGCTGGTGGACTGGGAAGCGGATGGGCAGGTCGGTGGCTGAACAGGGCCACCGAATCTGCTTGGATTGTCTCCATTCATTCACGACCCCCTCCAGCAATCATGTAATTCATGGAATTCATGGTCCCTTGGAACGCGGAACTTCCGAAGACCAAGAGGGGGGGGTTGTCCGCTTCAATTTCGAGGGAGTGGACTCGTCAAATGATGCCATGCCATGAAAACCTTTCTCATCCTTTCTGCCATGAGAAGGCACGCTAGTAGTAACAAGTGCAACGCTAGTAGTAACAGGTGCCTTACTAGTAACAAAGAAGCTATTGGCAGTCCCATGAGAAGGGGGGGTTGTCCGCTCCATGGCACTGCCAGTCCGGACTGCCGAGAAAAGGCCAGGGCTGGTGCCATAGTCGGGGTCTGGCTTGATCGGCATGGCAGTCCCATGGGTCGTGTCTGCCATGAAAACACGACCAATTACGAGCCTTTTCTCATCCTTTCTCACCTCTTCGAGCATACATACAGTGCATGCCCACAACTTCCACACTTCAACAGACCCCCAACAATGGGACACAACAAAAGAAACAGAAGGGGTACTTGCACCATCTTGTGCCCCAGTCCCAGTTTCCGACGTACTTTGAGACTCTATAGGTTCTAACTCCCCAAAATATATGTCAAATCTGCACGAAATTGTATCAGCTTCGACTCTTTAAATCCCTTGATCCATGAATCCATGGTGCCTCAGCAGTGGGTGCTGCCTCCAGTAACTTGAGCGCAGAGTCCATGAGTGGCAGCGGGTCGCCGCGTTGCTGCGCCGCCACTGCTGTGGTCAGCAGTTCGTCCCAGGCACGCACGGTGAGGACAGCCGCCTAATGTGAAGGGGTGGCATCCGGGATGGCGGGATCCTGAAGGAGTTCAGTCTGGAGTCGACCCGTGAACGTACCTCAAACATAGAAGCATATACTTATAAGCTATATATACCTAATAGGTATAGTCCTTGTATACCTAATAGGTACCTTCAAACAATAGGTAATATGGCATAGTTTCAGAGGGTTATGGCCCGGCTATGGTCCCATTTTCTTCGGTCTCGGCTTCCGCTTCGTCGGGTCCAGGTCTTTTCAGGCTTCCGCTTCGTCGGAGCGAGCACGTCGACGTGTGTAGTGGTTACCGATCTCCATCTCCCGACGTCACTGGAGGTGTCGGAGTTGAAAACGTGTAGCGACTGGAGCTCGACAAAAAGGCTGACTGGCGCGACTCCGGCAGGAGGGTAAGGAATGACGAGCA